ATTAAAGTGTTACTATTCCCTGGCTGGAGAAATACAGAGTTGATCACATGAATGCTACAGAAGAGTAGTCATCTGTTTCAGGACAAGTACATAGAATAAAAATTAGCTTAAGTTTTTCCATGTGCACCTGGCATGTCCATTTAAATAAAGAACACTAAATGAAGCATTGAGCTCACATAATTAAGCTCACATATACACCAAACCCAGTTCAAAACCACGCTTGATATTCTGGCAGTTATTCTGGATTTGATTGGCAACTTTTTTAATAGGTTAGACACAAGTCCTGCAGGCAACAGGACTAGTTCATGGGGTATGTCACTATGACGAGGTGAAAATATAACTGGAGCACATGCAGCATAATACCTTTGAATTTGGAGGAAAACATTTCAGTGAAGATGTGTTTGCTTGGACTGTGTTAGTGACAGGGAGTACATTTATGATCTCTAACCAGCCTGCAAGTACTAAAGATTGATCTGCCATGTCAACACCACCCTGCTTTCCCTGCTGGCTTAAGTTAGAATTGCGATCACACTTGTGCTTTGTGATGTTTTATTGATCATCTACAGCAGTGTAACTGTGTGGCTTTAAGCTACACACTTTACTAACCCAGTCTGGAAATGTATAAACTGTTTCATATTGGCTGTTTGTAAAGAGGTGATGGGAGGGGGACAGTGGTTCTCAAGAAACCTATGTAATTACTAAACTTAAGTTCCACTAGGCAAAGTTGTTTTCTAACCAGGAGATAGCCTCAAAATGTGCTTTACTCTGGTCAGTTATACACTAGGATCAAAGGAAATGCAACTGCAGTCAATGCTTGCTGAGGCTTTGGTCATAGTGGAGTTGCTTTACTTCAAAAGGAATTGAAAATTTCATTGTACCTGATAGCTATCTGTTTTATATTTTGGCTTTTTAAATAGACTTTTTTTATGGAAAATGTCTCTGAGAAGATGATTTTGGGAATGCTTTTATTTTGTCTGCCATGACGTAAGGCAGGAGCACACGACTCAGCATTTCTCTTCTTTAGAAGCTTACATTAAGTTATTTTGACAGCATTTCCAACTCATAGTAGCTTAGGATTATCTGTTTGTGCTACCTTCTTATTTCAGACAAGCAATGCTTTGCGTGAGACTGTTAATTTGGCAAAGGGCATGGGTTCACATTTGGTTTTCATAGACTGATAGATTTAAAGACTAGGAGAGACCACTATGATCATCTAGTCTGACCTCCCACTTCAATCAGGGCACAAGCCTCACGCAATCGATGCTGCAACATGATCATGACTTCAGCAACAACGTGTTCGTGAGCTAGACAGCAGCTTAAAAAATGTCATCAATACTTAGTTCCCTTCCTCTAGGTTTTGGCATTAATTTTTCCAACTTAGACTCCTGTCCCTGGATCATATCGTTTTATAGGCATGCAGAGTCAAAATGAAACATCATCCTTAACTGTCCTTTTCAATTACATGTCTGGGGTTTCATCTACTTGGATTTATCCCAAGATTATAGGAATATTTATGTTGTATAAGTGTCAGACCGTGCTAAATGGACAGTAAGCATTCTTTTCACTTTATACTGTTGTAAAAACAGTTTCAAAGCATGCATGGAATGTCAAGATCTTGGGCTGGATCTACATTGGTAAGTCAGGAAGCATTCAGCCTTGCTTTTGCCTTTTGAGAGCAGTTTGCATCTACTGAGTTAACATACATGAAGCCTGTCCACAGAGGAAATGCCAAGCAACTATTTTGCTTCTTTAAAAAAAAACCAACACCAGAGTTTCTAAAGTCAGTTTTTAATAGACAAATAACAATGAAAATTAGCAACTGACAAAAAAAAGATAAGAAAAAGAAGGAGTGAATGTTTAAGAAATTGTGATTTACTTAATATATTACCAAAAATACAATTGTAATTTGGTGTGCCCATCAGAACAGCCGTAGAAGATTAGGTGGGAAGAAGGAAGGTACTTGGAGTCAGGGTACTCTGCTACTCACTTTCACATGTACTCATCATAATGTGAGAGCACACTTTCTTAGACTTCAAACCTGGCTAAAATTCACTCTCATAGGAATTCTGGTCTGCAACAACTAAATTAATTTTCCAAGTTGGCCGGACCTCCAAATCTGGCAGGGTTGTCTTATGCAACTGGGGAAGTTCCTGGTGTGGATGAGAAATGAGGTTGCAACACTTTGGGAAGTCTCTGAGCAAACATCTGTTTCTGAAATTTAAATGTTCAGGCCTTTCCTGTGTCACCCTACATGGAGTAAAGAAAGGGGGCAGAGCTCAGACTCTGCAACTTTACTATCATGTGGTAGCTAAAGGGGCTCCATGGTCTGTCTGAGAAAATAATAGGGGAAAGTACTAGAGAAAGATACTGCTGAGAGAAAATCTGGATAAACATACTGCAAGAATTGACCAAGTTTTATGAGCTTTAAGACTTTTGAATCAGGCCACTTTTAAGAGCTGCCATTCAGTACTGCCCTAGTGAAACTGGAAAGATTGACATTAATTTCAGACAGCAGCCACCAGGTTCTTGTCGTCTGGTAAAGCATTAATAGAAACTGATGTTCTTCAATAAAAATTAAACAAAATTCTAATTGTTCTTGACTTTAAAAAACCCCACTCTCTTGCATACCAAATTGCCTGGAAACAAAATTTCAGGTTTGCCATATTTAAAATTACACAGTTCAAGGAGATAGAACATGGGAATGGAATAACTCCAGTTTCTCTGAGGCAACTCACTTGTTTCATAGTTTTTCTTCCATTTTCACAGTCAGGAAATGCAGAAGATATCAAGAGACCTATGTGAAGCCACTCTAATATACATGGGTTTATATTTGTAGTCACTGGATAGGAAACTTATTCTAAGATTTTGTTCTTCATCCTATATATATATATGTGTGTGCGTGTGTGTGTGTTTATACATGTATATAGGAATAGAGATTACTATATCCATATTTTGGAAATATTTATAATATAATAATGTATATATAATCTATGGGTCAATACATTTCTGTTTCCGAGAAAAATGCTGACTCTTCTTGTATTAATGGCCTTAGCCGAAAAGAAATTACTTTCAGTTATTTGAAATCATTGCAGTGTCCCACAACAATTTTGAATACATTTTTTCTTCATAGTATATGTAGGTACCAACTGCTAGTATTTTTTATGTTCAGTCATTTTAAATTAGATCACCTCAATGAAGAATACACAATTTTCACTGAAACATTTTAGTGTGAAATATTAAAATATATAAAACATTAATGTATAAGATTAAGAAGTTTTAGAAATAAAATTTCAAGCGTATTTGCTCATTTGAATCAACTTAAGGAACTGTTTATTGAAGGCAAAAGTTATCTGATATTGTAACTATATATGCTATTTTGACTTTGCCTGTGAGCCTCGGCTCTACAAAGGGACATCTGACAGCACAGCCAACATGCCTTTGCAATTAAGATTGCTCACAGTGTGGCTTATGGAAATGTAAGATCCAGCACAAACAGTTTGGTAAAAATTCCTGCTCTTGTTACTCTTTGTTTTAATGGGCTATGAAATAAATGTAGTGTAGAAGGTATTTTTACAGCCAGGGCTTGTCATACACAATATGCATGGCTCTGCTGGGAAGAAAATGCCAAAATTATGTACTTCAAGCACTCATCACACTCCTTGAAAGGGTCATATACATAAAAGCCACCAAAGTGTTGTGTTTTCCTTAGTGGAACAGAACTGACTGCCTCTCCAGTGCTTACAGCATCCACCCTGGTACCTGCCAGAGTGTGTATCATTTAGTAATTCAATACTGCCATCTTCATTTGTTTGTAGCCACATGCAGAAATGGGAAGGGAGCTGCCTGGCTGCAGAAAGAGAGGGTGAAGAACAAGGTGTTTCAAACAGCATGAAATAGGCAGGGAATAACAACACCAAAAAGCACACACACACACTCTAAATGTGGGTATGGAGATGGAGTTAGTGGAGAATTATACAAGTCAGATAAGTTAATGGCAGTTGCAGGGACTGCAATGATGGAATAGATACACCAGAGGGAAAGTAGTAGTGTGAAGAAAAGAAGGTCATTAATAAAAGATGAGGAGGGTTGAAATTAATGAAAGTTGTGCAGAGACCCTTGCCGCCCTTGTCAGGAGAAAAGCAGAGGACTCACTCCTGGTATTCCTGCTCAGTAACTCCAGGAGTGGGTCAGAGCTGTCACAGACCTGCCCCTCGTGCTTGGGTTCCCCTCCTGTGGGTGCAGGGAGGAAAGGGAAGGCTGAAACATTTGTTGTTAGATCTCAATCTCCCATGCAATTGCAGGGAGCCAGGATGCAGCCTCAGATCTGTGAGCTGGAAAGGACTTTGCTCCACCACAGCTGCAGATATTTATGGCAGACATAATCAGTTGATAAACACAGAAATGTGCCACAAGTAATCTCTCAAAAACAGTTAGTGAAGGTAGAGTTTGTGAGCAGTTTGTTTCATTCTTATTCGTAGAAAGGGTGGGTTTTTTTGAATTATTTATTAAAAAATATAACTCTCCTGAGCTAGGGAATAAAATTAAATAGACAAAATCTCCCCAGCATTTCAAAATCCTAAGAAGAAAGTGCTGACCAGTTCTGAGACCTCAGTTAGTAGCAGAGTTTTAAATTCAGATGTTAGATGGAAAGCAGGAAATAAGGAGTAAAAAATGTTCTCAGTTAAAATAAACATTTATTTTGGAAAAATGTTCTTGCCTTTTCTGGTGTTCTCCTTACTCATTTTTTTCCTCTTGAATAAAACTAATTGCTTAATCTAATTATTATTAGGTCCTTAGAAAAACTATTTTCCAGAATTCACTCTTTTCTTGAACTTTTTTGGTCTCTTGTCTTGCACAGATAAAACATCTAATCAAACATGTAATGTAATGGAATATATCAATATGAAAATCTCATGTTCATATCTGTGTAACTTGATTTTTCTAATATTCACCGAAGTATTAAAATCTTTGAAATGTTTTTTTTTTCTTTATTTTTACAGCAAAATTTGGAGAGTAACCTCACCAACCTTATTAAGAGGAACACTGAACTGGAAACTCTTCTGGCAAAACTCATTCAGACCTGTCAACATGTAGAAGTGAGTATGGCCTCAATCAGAAATTCTTATAAACCTAATTGCATTCATTTCTAGCATCCAGGAGCAAACATTTAAACAAAAAAAAAAAAAAAAAAACAGACAAAACCCCAACAAAAATAAATAAAACCAAACAAACAAGGGAAGAAATTAATTTGAATAATGGTAAACTGACTTAAAGCTTTTTCACTGATAAGGGGTATTCTCAATACAGATAACCTCCTTTACATTCCTTTCTGTCCTGTTTTAATTATGGTGTGTTGCTATGGTCTCTACTGCTACTATCCTTGAACACATCATTTACTACCTGTAACATTTGTCTTTCTGGGTCCTTTGTGAGATAGAGAAATATTTACAGGTGGAAAATGAAAGCAAAAAATAGGAACACCCAGATTCCCAACCTCATTTAGGTTTCTGCTAAATGCTGCTTTTGTTTTCTTTTTTTTAGTCAAAATTAAGTACCTAAATACATATCTGTACTCAAATGTCATACATGAAATATATTTATCTTCCAAAGAAAACAGGTTCTTACAGGCCTTTTAGTTGCTTCACTTACATATTCCACTCTGACAATCAAAAAAAATCTTTAGCAGGGTGGGATCTGAACCTATACTTTCTCCCCAAGAAAAGGTGAAAAAAAGTTCACCTAAAAAAGGCAAAGCAAACAAAACCAAAACAAAAAAAGGAAACAAAGTCAAGAAACAAGCCAACCAGCCAACCAAAGCCAAGCAACCCCCTATTCTTCCAAAGAGATCATCTTATCTATGTTTGTATCTGCTGCACTTCTCTGGAGCCTCACCAACTTCACAGAGCTCAATAAAACCATAAAAGTCTACCCACAGTATGAGACATTAGGTGGATGGTTTAATTCCTTTATTTAGGCACCAGTGCCACCAGTCAGAACAGCTGGAATGGCATTAGTGAGTATTGAGAGACAGAGATAAGGCACAGTTTGTTCCTCTGCATCCGCAGCTCTGAGCAAACCCCATGAAGCAGACGGGCTCAGGACAGCACAAAGCCTCTTCTTCACTGGTGGCCTGTGTCCAAGATGTGCTAGAGCTGAAAAACTTAAAATTGCTCCTCAGTCTTCTTTGCCTTTCTGCAACATTTTACCAGAAAGTAAAAGTCTTACAAAAGTCCAACTTGTTCAGCGGGTAACAGATGCGCTACTGTCCCTGGAGCCCTGGTTTAGAAAATTTCTCTGTAGACATAAAGCAATCGCAACATAGTTGTTAATGAATTCCTACCATGTTTTATTCATCAAATTAGTCTAATTAGCATTTAAATTAGCTAAATATTAAGAAATGAGCTTCAGTCAAAACCTTGGACCTCGGCCGTGCTGGAAATTGGGCAAGTGGGGATGGGGAAGTAAACTTAGAAGTTATCTGTCTTTCTCAGAGCCCTGTGAAAATTTCAGATACGATGTGCATATCTCCAGCATTGGAGAAAGTGTGGCTTAGATAGATTTTTGAAAAGTCAGTACATTCTTTCTCTTCTTGGTTGTTGAGGAGAGAAATTCCACCCAATACAGTAACCAAATTGAAAATTAAATGAAACAATGTATTGGCTAAAACATTAACAATGCAAATTTAAAATTACAAAATATTGGGAAAAGTTTCCAATTTCTGTATTACTTTTGGCATATAAACCCACTGAAATGTTGAAACTGAAAAGGAAGTTAGTTTTACAGCAAATGCTTTCTTTTTCATTATTAGATTTATTATAGGTAATAATGTAAAATACATTGTACATCGTTAGTAAACATATAAAAATATAGGTAGTAAATTTAAAGACTTTTGTTACCTACTTTGATTTTCCTTAACTAATTTGAAATAATTTTGATTAAGATTTTGGGGCCTTTAAAACGGGTTTAAAAAAGAGAAAAGGGAAATAAGCTTTCAATTTCAGATATAGTTTGAACTTCGAAAAACAAGGAAGGAAAGGAAATTATTATTATTCCTTGTATTAAAAATACCAAGACTATATTCTGATATAGATAAACTTTTAAAAGTCATGTTCACCAACATTTATTTGTATCTATAAACAGTAATATTTTTTAAGCCTTTATCATGTCATAAGCCAAAAAATTCATTGTTACCTGAAAAATGAAGAAGGAATGTCTTTTTTGGTTTGATATGGAGCAAAAGCTGATGTGTCCAAAAATGAATGGAAAACAGGCTCTGTGTGTTTTGAATAAGTTGATCCTTGCCAGCCAAACCAAATGTTGTAACCACCATTTCTCATCTCAAGTGAGCAGTCAGTGGCTTCCCAGGAACCAGCTTTATGGCCGATGAGAGATCTAGCCATGCATCCTTCCCACCTGTACGGTCATCCACAGCAAAGGCCAAATCCCAATCTCTCTATGCTTTAAAATTCATTCTTATTCCTTTCTGAAACACTTATTTTCTTTTTTTTTTCCCCATGAGTGCACAAGGAGTGATCAGTGATGTTCATAATCTGGAAGCTGGAGGCCTTCCAGCCACTGGGGAGGGGTATCTGGTTTGGCCTCTCATCACAGCAATGGAGACATAAATCTTGGCAATTTCTGGATGGAGGTTATCAGTTTGTGACAGGATTTATCTTGATGAAGAACCTGATCTTGGGAGCCTCAAGAAGTTCACTTCCAGTCTTGCATTCCTTTGTGAATAAACCACGGCAAACCTTTATTATTTATTACTTTAATTAAGATATAATATTAAACATTTAATAATAATAATAATTTCAGTATATGAATGTCTACTTTCATGCCTAACATGGATTAGTTTATTTGCTTATGGCAACAGTTTTTAAAATTCCATTTTCTCAAAGGGAACCACACCCTGACATGTGATTGCTTGAGACTATAACACTCTTTTCTGTCCCAAACCTTTCTGTTTGTTCAGGAGCACGCTGACACACTTGTTCTACTCATCTTTCAGACACATCTCTAACATGTTTTTCATTTTACGCTAATTTTTCTGTCTTTCCATTCTCCCTTCCTCTGTAATCCTGTCTGTCATTACTTGGTTTTGCAGAAACCCCGAAGGCTGGTAATCAGGGAAGCTTTCTTCTTCTTCCTTAGAGCCCATGGCAAATTTTCAATGTCATACTTCTGGCCTGGCTGTTTTCGGCAGAGCGTCCCTGGCCCAGGGCAGCTCTGCTGCTCACTCTGTGCAGGGCAGGCACCTCTGGCTGCCTCCCCTGGCACAGCAAGGTGGGCTGCATAAAATGATAAACTGATCATCTATCATGGGATAAAACAGACCTTTCTCCACAAACTGAGAGAATGGAATAGGAATGACTGCTACTTGGATATGCATTTCTTTGTAGTCCTAGTTCACTGCATTCACACTTCTGATAGGATCTGTAGAAACCTTTTACAAGAGTGTTAAAAACTGTCTTGGATAATTTCATCGTTAAATTTTCTGCAGGGGCCTTGTACAAGTCTTCCAAAAACAGCGTTGTAAAATTGGGATTGGCAGGCCCAGGATGAATCCCTGGGTGTCAGCACCCCTGTGGCCACCCCAGCCCCCTCCAGGTGTCCCTTGGTCAGCGTGTCCCTTAGCACTGTGTGGCTCTGCTGTGGGCACTGCAGCGCTGCCACCCTCCCGGCACACCTGCCACATGCCAGGCGTTGGGGGCTGCATCCTGCTCTGCTGGCTCGGCCTCTGCTCAGCATTGAGCCCCTTCTTAGCTGAATCAGGGGAGGATATAATGTTGTCAGTGTTTCTCTGACTGACAAGGTGCTGTGACACAGAAAGTTCGCTTCTTTGTCATAATTTCCACTCTACAACTGTGTGAGGTATCTGCAGAAGTCTTTTAGACCATGGCATTCATTGACATAAAGCACAAGTTTGGGCATGAGACTCTTATGCCAGTTACTTTGTTTCTAAGCAATTTGAGTTTTGTTTTTGGAATTTTTTTCTCATCTCTTTTAGGAAATGCATGATTAAATGTCTGTTATATCGTCAATACCATAAAGCTTCTCATCTGTTAGACAGAAACATAATCTGAACTCAGCTGGAGGAGAAATTGGAGCAATTATCTAGGAGGGAGGAGAAAGGAAATAGGTTTTGCTTGCAGACAACTTTATAGCATCTGTATCTCAGTCTTTTTGCTTGTTTTGTTTTGTTTTGAATTCACCAAACATCATAGGAAGCAGATTCTGGACAACACTGTAAAATAATTTTGGGTTGCATAAAGAGGAGGCGTTTTCCTCTGGTTGTGTAACCCTCTAAGTGCTGCATCCTTTTCTCTTTGTATGTAATAGAAATGCTCCGTTTCCAGCTCACTTCTAAAGATCTGCTGCGGGCAAAATCTCAGTGTAAAGTTCCCAGTAAAAAACTGGGTTTGTGAGTGTCAGATGGTGTTTTTTATAGTCATGTTATATAATCACCTGAATAAAAAGTAGTTCAATGAAAGAACCTTTATTTCACTGGCACAGATACTCAGCACTCACACTGATCCACATGCATTTTACATTTCAGTGTAAAGCAGTAGTGCAAAACCAATGAAGAGAAGATGGCAGCACCTAAATAATCCTGCTGTTGCTATTTTTTTTTTGCATGGCTGATAAAAAGAAATGATCCAAACAGGAAAATTTAATAATAATGGAATGTTGAGTTTCAGTAAGACTTCAGTGACAAGATAGCTCCTTCAAATTTTGCAACAAAATGTCTCCATCAATTTTTGCATGGCATTTCTGTTCCTTGAGAGACAGTAAAATCAAAACTCAGCTGTCAATACAATTCTCAAAGGACCCTTGAAAAATAAAGAGGCTTTGTCTGTCACTATAAAAAACAGTGAGTACTCTGTTTTCACAAATTTTCATGGTACTCACTCCTTGAGATTTGGGATTATTTTTGTCAAAACTCAAGTAAACTGAGAGGTTCTCAATAGGAAAATTTAGTTAGAAAGCCTGTATGTAAATCCTGGTGTCTGAACTGCAGTAAATGGCCTTCAGAGTAATACCAGGTCTTTGGAATAAGGAATCTACTTTGCTGGGAATTTTTTTCCTAGGAAAG